CCCAAAACCCCAAAACCCCAAAACCCCACTAAATGAAATCTGTATTAAAACAAAGTAATATAAATGAAAATTTACACGACGAATTAATTCTTTTTGTATTGTTCTATATTATCTCTTATTATGTGTGATAAGAAGTAGCACTTTCTAGGAGAGATCCTTGCAATTCATTTATGAAGGTCTAACTTATTTTTATCTACGTAAAAATTCCTGGTATTTGATGGCAATTTAACCAACATTCCTTCCATTGCTCTCGTGACTTTTACCTAGCATCCTAGTCTTGACGTTAGAGTCAATCCATATGCCAAATCAAGTAAATCTTCCTCTTCTTCTTTAGGTGATTCAAGATTCTCAAATATTTCCTCCTCTAAGATAACATGGCATGTTGAGCAAGCAAGGCTCTGCTCACAAGCACCTTCAAGCTCTATTTTATTGTTATGTGCTACCTCTAGCAATGTTTCTCCTTCTCTAGCAAGTACTTCTTATTTATCATTTTCCTTAGTATAAAGAAAGCTAAATCGAACTGGATTCTCCTCTGGCTTAGGTGGATATCCAATTCCACAACTAAATTGCCTCACTTGCATGGTTAGTAATCTATTAAAGCTATCTTGCTTTAGATAAAAACTTGCGTATTTTATGGATGGCCTAAATAATTTCATTAATTAACTTTAAATATTATTACTATTTTCTATTTCAGTAGACATAATAAAATAGTCTAATGTGAATTCTTTTACTAATATAATACAAATTAAAAACACAACATTTTAATGGAGGATTTGGAATTAAATGAGCAAATGGAGATATTTATCTCTGCTTTCCCAAAACTTGAGTATTCTTTTATATTCTAAGTTGCCTACTGTCATCAATGCAAAAGAAGAGCGGTTGTATTTTAGTGCTATAAAAACTATAAAGCTGCTAGTTGCACGTAAGTTCATTATATATATGAACATACCTGACTGTCTATCATGCTATAGGAAAAAATACTGCGTAAGTTGCTTGTAAAAGTTTTACTAAGATGATGTCTACAATACACTATAAAAACTTAAGGAATGGAACTGCCCTTACAAGTAGAATGCCTGTTGCTGTTCAAAATGTCAGCTGAGCCATACTAATTACAGAAGTTTGAATGATGGGAAAAATACATAGATAAATACTAAAACTCAGCAGAAGTAAAAAGGGTAGGATAATTATGAAGATATGAATGAGTCCTCTTATTATTCTGAGGTGAGTTAGAGTAGTGAAATATCTACTATTTAAGATCAACTTGCTGCCGTAAAGAAATTCAACTTAGATGACTTATTGAGTGATACTGATGATGAGAATTAAGTCCAAGCCAGAAAAGAGCTTTAGCCTATTGTTTTCAAAGATCCAAATCTTGATATATGGTTTAAGAGAGCCTCAGAAAAGACTACAATTATGAGTAAAAGGTAATTTGATTTTGAGAGATAATAGTTGAGAGATTAGACTCAAAAGAATATTTTGAATCAGATTAGTGGTTACCTTTAAACAAATGGCTTGATAAATCAACCACAAATTTCCTCTTAATAGTCAGATAAAAAATCATCCATTGTCATTAGACTAGATATGAATTAGAATGTTTAAGGAGTTAAGAGCACACCAGAGAAGATCAAGAGTGCCAGCTCATCTACTTAAAAGATTACTCTCCTCAGGAAAAGACCAGCATAGACAGCTAATACCACCTTAAAGCAAGAGTTTATGAGTTAAACAAGTGCTATTACCTAACAAGACAAGGAATTAAAAAAGAAAAAGAGTTTGGGTAAACAGAAACCAAAACAGTCTAAAATTATTGGCAAAATTGAATTAAAATAGATTAAAACTAAACACTCTATCGATGAAAATTTGAAGTAAACTTTCAAGAATGAGTATTTGGAGATTGATGAAAATTTCAATATTATTGTAAGCAAAAACATCCTCATTAATTGAAATCTTCATCAGATAATTAATTTTTTATTTTAAGATGATTGTAAAATTAATCAAACTTATTTGTTGAAATGATCATCAATGGGGTTTTGGGGTTTTGGGGGATCGGAAGAGCACACGTCTGAAC